GGGGGGCAGGACGCCTTGCGCGCCGCTGGGGTGCCCCGCCGAGCCACCCAGGACGTGTCCATCACCCTGACGCCCATGCTGGGGGAACACGGAGACGGGCCCTCAGCACCTGCCCGGCCTGAGGGGACCCCCAGCACTGGGACACGGCTCCTTCGGGGTGCCTGGTCCCTACAAGTGCCTCTTCCACTGGGACGCTGCTGGGAATGCACCTCCGTGGCATTAGGGGAGGGGTGGCAGGGTGGGACGTGCTCGTGTCACCCACTGGCCATCTCTCCCTTCCCCAGGTACCAGCAGGTACCAGTATCCTCCCAGCACCCTCCCAGTATCTTCCCAGCACCCTCCCAGCACCACTGCAGAGGACACGGTACCTTTGGATTTTCCTAAGGCTGCATGGGCAGAAACACAGCATCATTAGTGTAAAAAACCCTAGAACTCGACAGGGCAGAGGGGCAGAGGCTGCAGCTGGGGAAGGGAACTGCCCGGCCAAGGGGCTGCGGGGGCAGGAGGGGCATGGTGGGGACCAGGACACCCCCATGATGTGGAGAGCTCAGGCTGGTTTTTGAAGATGGGGAGGGCACTGGAGGTGTTCTTCCAAGAAGGAGACAGCACTGGGCATATGTTTTTTCGAGACAGGGAAAACCCTGGGAGTGTATAAGGAGTCAGGGAGAGCCCAGGGGTTGTTTTATTTTTTTGTATATAAGGAGAGCTATGGGGTTGTCTTTTGGAGATGGGGAGAACCCTGAGGATGTTTTCTGGGGCTGACCTGACTGCAGGGTCTCTCCACATGGGGGCCACACACAAGCTGGGAATAGGGAGCTTTCCCCAGGAGAAAAGCCCACAGTCCTTGGGGGCACCAGGACACCCAACCCTGCATGGAGCAGCCCCAGTGCCACACCACGTGCCACCCTCCTGCCATCTCAGCAGGCGGGGGCAGCTGTCATGCCCCAGGCCCACCCAGGTATCCCCAGCAGTCCAGCATGGAGAGCAAGAAGTTGTGGTCTCTTCCCACCCCAGGATCACCCCACCTCCACCTGCTCAGTGCCACCAGGGTGGTGGCAACACCACCACCTCCCTCTCCCAAAATATTGGCACGGCAAAGACCCTACCCATCCTTCTTGTAAAACTCCAGCATCATATTGTCCGTGGCCACGCTGAGGGGCCGGCGCGCCTGGTCGTGCTGCCGGCGCTCGGCGTGGTCCATGTCTGGGGAGGGCATGGAGCTGTAGTTGGCGTTGTGGTTGATGTGCATGGGGCTTCCGTAGTTGCCTGTCACGTTGAACTCGATGTCTGGGATTGGGAGGGGGTGGAAAAGGAGAGGAGGGGGTGTTGGGTTGTGTGTCCTCAGTGAGGGGTGGGATGGGGGATATCAGCACTGCAGGAATGGATGCGAGGGGGCCTGGATTGGGGCTCACTGCTGGGATGAGTCTTGCAAGATCTCTGCTTGAGATCCCACCAGGCCAAGGCAAGTGGAGGGGGCTGGATGAAATGAAGGTGGGAGCCCAGCATCCCTCCCCGGGGAGGTCCCATGAAGCCCATCCCAGCCTACCTCCAGGGAAGAACCAGTCCGCGTGCTGGATGAGCGGCTCGATGATGGCCACGATCTGCAGTGAGACAGTCGTCATCATCTCCGTCATGTTCCTGCAAGGCAGCAGCTCAGCAACTCCTGGTGGGATTCCAGCCCTGGACCCACCCTTCAGCCTCATCCCCAGCATCCCTCTGGCATGCTTCCTTCCTTCCAGACCCCTTACCCGTCTGCCTGTGGCCAGAGGAGGTTGGGTCCCAGCACGATGGCCACATTACTCGGAGTCATTTTGTTCATGTCCTGGTACTCGGTCAGCTTGGCCAGGAATTTAATCAGGTACCTGGAAAGCAGAGCCGAGCTGTGCCGGTGTCCTGGGGTCTCCATCCCCTCTGTGGGTCTCCTCCCCAGGCTCACCTGATGTTGTTGTAGTTGGCTTTGGGCAGCTTCTCGCAGGCGCTCCAGAGAGCCTGCAGCCGCTTCTCCTGCTCCGGGATGCTGTGGGAGGTGGGAAGAGGGTCACCCCCATTCCCATCCCACCATCCCTGCCCTCAGGGACCTTGTGAAACCCCCAGGGCTGCTGCCAACATTACATACCCACTGTCTCACATGCCACCCTCAGGGACTGTCCCCTCTGCTGAGCCACGACCACCTCTTTGCCATGCTCCCAGGGCAGGGGAGAGATGTGGTCAGACCTGTATTTGGGTGCTACTAAGGTGGTTCCTACCCTAAATGGAGATGCTCCTCCTCCCACCTCCCTGTGCTCCTCACCCCTCCCACACACCTCCCAGGGTGGAGCGGGCATGCTGGTGCCACCTCAGCTGGCCCAGTCCTGCTGGGCTTGGGGTTTCAGGGTGCAGAGCACCCCAGTGAAGCAGGTGGGGTCTCCCTTGGCCAGCTGTCCCCCAGGGTTTGCATATCCCTCCAGAAATGGCACCAGCACAGAGCACCCCGGGGTGTGACAAGATGCTGGGAGAGCTCAGCCACCTTGGCCTGGGTGCTCATGGCCTCTCTTGCTGCTATGACCCATGATGCTCAGGGGGCATCACAGGAACCCTCCTCGGTCTCAGATCCCAGATGCTGTGAGCTATGTCAGAAATGGCCCCCAAACCATCCATGGGGACCCAAGATGCCACCACCCATGTGACAGAGGAATGTGGAGATGCACCAGACTCACTTGGAGGCCTGGATCCACTCATCGTACAGCTCGAACGTCATGAGCGGCTCTGGCAGCTCTCGTAGGTAGGACTTGAGGGCTCCTGTGGCACACAAGGGACATGGGGGTTGGCACTGCAGGAGACACCACGGGTGGCCCTGGCCACCAGGCACTGAGACGCTTCACTCATCATTTTCACTCGCATACCCCCCAACCTCCCCACCGACATGTCCCTAAGGGGCTGTTCATCCCTTCAGCCTGGTGGAGCCTGTAGCATCCCCTGACCACAGCAAGCACCTTGCACCTCCTCCTTCTCCTTCCTCCCCCATCTTCACCTCCTTCCCACCATTCCCACCTCCACTTGCTGCTTGCCCAGCTCTCCATCCAGGGTGGTTCCTGGGACAATCCTTGCACTGGGACAAGGTTCCCATGGCAGTCAGTAGGGAACTCGGGTCCAATCCTGCCCCTTCTGGGGTGCCCAGTGCAGGAGGGGGACAGCTAATTGGCACTCAAAGCCAATTAATGCTTAACAGCAGCCCCGTGGGCTTGGAGAGTCTCTCCACCACAGAGATGGAAAGAACATAGAATCATAGAATCATAGAATCTTAGGGGTTGGAAGGGACCTCGAAAGATCATCTAGTCCAACCCTCCTGCCAGAGCAGGGTCACCCAGAGCACATCACACAGGAACTCATCCAGGTGGGTTTTGAATGTCTCCAGTGAAGGAGACTCCACACCCTCCCTGGGCAGCCTGTCCCAGGGCTCTGTCACTCTCACAGTAAAAAATTTTTTTCGGATATTCACCTTGAACCTCCTATGCTCCAATTTACACCCATTACCCCTTGTCCTATCACTGGTCATCACTGAGAAAAGCCTAACTCCGTCCCCCTGACACTCACCCCTTACATATTTGTAAACATGGATGAGGTCACCCCTCAGTCTCCTTTTCTCCAAGCTAAAGAGACCCAGCTCCCTCAGCCTTTCCTCAGCAGGGAGATGTTCCACTCCCTTAATCATCTTAGTAGCTCTGCGCTGGACTCTTTCGAGCAGTTCCCTGTCCTTCTTGAACTGAGGGGCCCAGAACTGGACACAATACTCCAGATGTGGCCTCACCAATGCAGAATAGAGGGGGAGGAGAACCTCTCTTGACCTACTAACCACACCCTTTCTAATGCCCCCCAGGATGCCATTGGCCTTCTTGGCCACAAGGGCACATTGCTGGCTCATGGTTATCCTCCTGTCTACCAGGACCCCCAGCGCCCTTTCTCCTAAACTGCTCTCCAGCAGCTCAGCCCCCAACCTGTACTGGTACATGGGGTTGTTCTTCCCCAAATGTAAAACTCTGCACTTGCCCTTGTTGAATTTCATCATGTTTCTCCCCCCCCAACTCCCCAGCCTATCTAAGTCTCTCTGAATGGCAGCACAGCCTTCTGGTGTGTCAGCCACTCCTCCCAGCTTAGTGTCATCAGCAAACTTGCTGAGGGTACATTCTATACCCTCATCCAGGTCGTTGATGAAGATGTTGAACAACACCGGTCCCAGTACTGACCCCTGTGGGACTCCACTAGTCACAGACCTCCAACCAGATTCTGCCTCATTGGCTACAACTCTCTGACTCCTTCCTTTCAACCAGTTCCTGATCCATCTCACTACCTGATCACCAAACCCATACTTGATCAACTTATCTACAAGGATGCTGTGGGAGGCGGGGTCAAATGCTTTACTGAAATCAAGATAAACCATATCTGTGAGTCTTCCCAACTACTCCTTGGTCCTGCAGAGCCCCTCCTGATCAGTGCCACCCTCACTGGCATCACCCTCATTCGTATCACCAGGGCCTCAGTGACACCTCACATAATGTTTGCATCCCTGTTTTCTCCCTTCCCTGGGAGACAGGTGATCAGGGCCAGCCAGACTGGGTTTATGAAAGAGAGGTCTTGCTTGATCAACCTGACAATGACTTCTTTGCATCAGTCTTCATGGGCAAGTGCTCCAGCCTCATCATGAAGGCCACAGCAGGGACTGGGGGACGAAGCATCCCCCACTGTAGGAGAACAGTTTCATGACCATCTAAAGAACCTGAAGGTGCACAAGTCTGTGTGACCTAATGGGGTCCATCCACAGGTCCTGAGGCAGCTGGCAGATGCAGTTGCTGAGCCTCTGTTCATCATATTGGAGAGGTCATGGTGGCCTGGGGAGGTTCTCACCAACAGGTAAAAAAAGGAACAGCCTCTGTTTTTAGGGGGGAAAAAGGAAAACCTGGAGAACTCCAGGCCAGACAGTGTCACCTCTGTGCCCAGCAAGATCATGGAGCAGATCCTCCTGGAAATTCTGCTAAGGCACATGGAAAACAAGGAGGTGACTGGTGACAGCCAACATGGCTTCAATGAGGATAAATCATGTCTGACCAATTTGGTGGCCTTCTATGACAAGGCTACAGAGATGGTGGTTGATGGCAGAGCAACTGACATCACCTTCTTGGATTTGTGCAAAGCATCTGGCATGGTCCCACACAACATCCTGGTCTGCAAACTGGTAGGACATGGATCTGAGAGATGGACCACTTGGTGGAACAGTAATTGGCTGGATGGCCACACCCAGAGAGTTGTGGTCAATGGTTCAGTGGAGGCAGGTGACAAGTGGTGTTCCTCAGGGGTCAGTACTGGGACCAGTGCTGTTCAATATCTTTGTTTGTGACATGGACAGTGGGATGGAGTGTCTTCTCAGCAGGTTTACACCAAGCTGTGTGGAGTAGTTGACACCTCAGAAGGAAGGGATCCATCCAGAGGGACCCTGACAGGCTGGAGAGGAGGGCCCATGCCAACCTCATGGAGTTCAACAAGGCTAAGTGCAAAGTTCTGCACCTGGGTTGGCACAAACCCCAGGCACAAATACAGATTGGCTAGAGAGCAGTCCTGAGGGCAAGGACTTGGGGGTGGTAGTAGATGAGAAGCTTGACATGAGCCACCAGTGTGAGCTGGAGCCCAGAGACCCAATCACATCCCGGGCTGCATCAAAAGAAGTGTGGCCAGCAGGGCCAGGGAGGTGATTCTGCCCCTCTGCTCTGATGAGACTAGAAGGCTCCAGGGAGACCTTAGAGCAGCTTCCAGTGCCTGAAGGGGCTCCAGGAAAGCTGGGGAGAGACTTTTCACCCGAGAGGCCAGTGATAGGACAAGATATAATGGTTTTAAACTGATAGAGAGGAGATTTAGGTGAGACATCAGGAAGAATTCTTCACCATGAAGGTAGAAAGGTGCTGGAATAGGTTACCTAGGGAGATTGTGGCTGCCCCCTCCCTGGAGGTGTGCAAGGGCAGGTTGGATGAGGCTTGTGCAGCCTGGTTTGGTGGGAAGGTGTCCTTGCACATAGCAGGGAGGTTGGAACCTGATAATCTTTAAGGTCTCTTCCAACCTTCACTATTCTATGATTCTATGACCATGTGACCACCTTTGGATGAGGGGAAGGCTGAGGACATTGTCTACCTGGATTTGGTGAGGCCTTTGGCATCACCTCCCACCCCATTGCCCTGGAGAAGCTGGTGAATCGTGGCACAGACAAGTGTTCTCTTCACTGGGTACAAAAGTGGCTGGATGGCAGGGCCCAGAGAACTGTGATAAATGGGGTCAAGTCCAGTTGGTGACTGGTCACCAGGGGGGTCCCTCAGGGCTCAGTTTTGGGC